CTTTTTGACTTGGATGTTTCTGGGTTCCTAGTACTGTAGAGACAACCCAAGTGTGTGTGTGTGTGTATATTTTATATACATGTACATACACATGTTTTCCCAGTGGGTTGCTGAACAGCTTACGTAGGTGAAAACACACCAAACATAGAAGACATAACAAGTACTAAACAGTTATGGCACAACAACTTTTGCCCTCACCCTATTGCAATGATTATGGCCCCTGTGTTATTCGAGCGAGAAGTATCATCGCAGAGATCGTCTTTGGCTGGCACGGCTCAGGGTAGCGAGAGTTTCCGTGTGGGGTTGTGTGATTTTCATGCAGCTAATTATGCGGAGACAAATTTAGCAGGGCGCCTTCGGTCGATATTGTTGACCTGCGTCTCCCGTCGCTGACTGGGTGTTTGTGGGAGGTGGCCTGCCGCAGGGGCGCACCTGTCGTGCAGGCACCGGCACGGCTTGTGGTGGTGTCATCATGCTTCGCGGCCTGACGTAGATTTGCCGACGAGTTTGTGCAGGCCACCGCGCCCGGGCACCAACCTCTAATTGGCAGCCAAGCCGCAGGCAGGGCCATGCTTGCAGTTGCTTGCTATCGCTACCACGAAGATGTTCAGAAGTGCATGACGATGAATCCCCTGAATGCTGGCTCTGCATTGATGACGGTCGAGATTCTCCGATCAACGCTTCGTTTCTATTCTTACGCATCGACTAGGCGACCACGAAAAGCACAACCCACGAACACCACCAGAAATACCATTGCCAGCATACCCCTGGTGGCCGAGAATTTCTAAACCCAGTTGCACCCTCCAGTCTACACATGCCCTGTTGCCCGACCTCCAAAATAGGTATCCGAATCAAGTATTCCGATCCGTATGCTGAAGCCGAAGGTGCTGAAAGCCAAAATGCAACTCCTGAACTTTCCGAAGCCTCCAGAAGCCTCGCACAGATCATGTACAGTGTCGGAGCTCCCCAACATTGGGTACCCTCGTGTTCGACTCTGACTCTGACACCACTCTTCCTTCGTGTCTAGCATTTCAAGAAGCCACTTCTTTCCGCGTTTAGAGACACCCTGGCGAAGCCGTCGCCATGGAAGCGCCCGCATTACCGGACCTCTGGGCTGGCTACCCGGTGCCCCGGAAGGGTTTCGGTATAGGCTTCAGCCTTTGGCTCGAGGCCTTCGCTTGTCTTGGGCTGAGGCTTTAGGCTGCTTTGGGGCTTCGGGGTTCGGGCGTGAGCTTGAAGAGTATTTTGCTTCGAAGCCGGTTTACTGCTCAAGGCTCTGAGTAGCATGGTCTTGAGCAAGGCGTGCGGGAGCTGCGGGCACAGCGTGGGTCTATAGCTCACGCCTTGGAGATCTGGGCTGGCGCAACATTGTGGGGCTTCATGTGCTACATTGTAACTAGTGCTTCCAATACGTTTCCAGTTTCTTACAGGAAAAATTCGGCAGATTTCACAGTATGTCGTTTGGAAATAGCGCAGCCTCTGCGTGTTTGCCAAAATAATCTCAGAGTGTGCTATCATCAGCATGATCCTGTAGATGGTCATGGCTTTCATCGTCCGCATCAGATTGTGAAACATACTTAACGTTGTTGGACTGATGAAAGGTGTGCTCTTCGCATCTGGTACAAAGAGCAGTTGACACAGTTGATAATAATTAGTTAGGTGTCGCGCACGTGAACTATTTCTGTCGCGCACACTGCGATCTTTGACGTCACCCCGAGCAGCTGCGGTCTCCAGGTGAGCAGACTGCTAACTTCTACACTTGCGACCACAGCGGCAAACTTATCCGACTTTTCTGAAACCATTCTGTCGCAACGGCAGTGACTACTGCCACTACTGCTAAGATAGTGAATACTTGGCAGCTCAATGACGGAGAATATGATCACCAATGCCAGCATTGATCGGATCTACGGCAACAGACGCTGAGCTCCAATGAACGCCGGACTGTCGAATCGAAGTCGGTTCTATCTTAAGAGTTGAGTGGGGCATGTAAGCCTCAAAACCCACAGTCCTCCCCAGAAGTTGGACCCGTGAAACATCCCATCCCATCGAAGGTGCGACGGGAAGAAGAGCTCGTGTCTTGTCGGCTTGGGAGTTTCGGGTTAGTTTGTTGTAGTTTTGACTTGAGTTTACTTGCCGCTGTGGCCTCTTGGTACTGCTGACTGCCTTCCATGATGGTCGTGATGATTTTGATGATGCGACGACACGATGACGACCCTGATGCTCATGATAGTGGATAACGATGAAGGGAGGATGTTGATTCTGACGAGGGGTTTGTGCATCGGGGATCATACAGGCTGGCTGAGCGCATAAAACGAACGTGTCATTGTTGCGAGGAGGGCTATGGCAGTGGCATGATTTGCTGCCGGGCTGCGGCTTGGTGGCGTCTGAAGATGGTCCGAGCGAGACCCGACTCACCCCCCCGTTGCTACCAGTAGCAAGCCTACATCCAGAAAGCCCGCCTTGAGAGCCCAAAGGATTTAAAGTGTTCGCCAGTGGGACTTGAGCATGTCGTGATATGGCCAGGGCTGGGCTGCTCGAAAATCTCTTGGACACGGTTCCTTCAGTTTAGGTTTCTGGATATGTGAGCGAACCTAGGGGTGCAAGTCGACTTTCTATCGAAGCGGAACCCTGGTTCAGAAGAGCCCCCCAACTGGAGGTGGAAAGCGGTGAGGTGCTTTTACGCTTGGACCTGTCGGTCTGCTGGACGGTCTCTCAGAAGCAGGTCGTTGTTGCCGGATTCGTTCGGGTTTCAAGGTGTTCGACCAGTAGGAAGTCTAGCAATGGATATCCCTTTGTTATGAGTGAGTTGCTTCAGTTGTGGATGTCGCGAAAATTGTACATGAATCTGCGTGATGAAGGGGAAGTCTACTTTGGACCCCCCAGCCGGGCAGTCTATCCTCAAGCGGATTCTGAATCTAGAGGGAAAGAACCCTAAACTGCGAGCCTCTTCGAGGCCGAGATTGCACTCGCCTCGAGTGCGTTGGCGGGACTCGGGGAGTTGGCGGCCGAGCTCTCGGAGGTGGGCCCTTGCGAGTGTTTTTGTTGAGGGTTTTGGGTTTTGGTGGTAGCTAATTAACTACCAGGCGTTCTTGCTTGCGAGCCCGCAGCCAAAGGGTTTTGGTGGTTCCTGTTTTTTTGCTCCAAAGCCGGTGGAATTTGAGAGGGTTTTTGGGGTGTGGGCTGTCAGAATGTAGGATATTTGGATATACAGGGTTTAGGTGGGTGTAGGGCGTCCGGCTGTCGTGTTTCTTGGTTGGGGTGTAAGCCTTCAAGCGTCAGGGACTTGCGAGATGGTTGGAAGGCTCGGAGCTTTATGATGCAAGGGTAAAAGGGTCGATTATGCAGGGCTCGTTGAGGTTTAAAACTGAAGCTTCGACGGCTGGCGGCTAAGAGTTTGGCACGGCGACCTGACAGCCCCAGCTTGACAAGACTGTATGGGGTCGAGTATGGGGTTGGTTGGGGTTTAAGTTTAGCCCTTAAGTGAGTAGTGCTCAGAGTTTAGAGCTGTGCCCTGGGGTTGGCACATTGGCCCTGGTACGGCCCATTGTAGATGCATCTCGCTTTTGGGAGCCTGCAGGCAATGAATTAGGCAATGTTGGCATGCTGTAGTTTCGTGGTTGTTGGGAACCAGGCGGTGGTCGCTGGCATCGACAGCGCCCGAGGGTATCGGATGATATTTCATTTCGAGGTTCATATTTGGACGACCATACCCTCTCCCAACAGTCCCGAGCAGCCTGTACGCGCCAGGCCACACAGACACTCGGCAAGACAAGCCGGGAAGGTTGTGAGACTCAGTGAATATTCAATGTAATTTTGCGCGAAGACGTCAATTTTTGCGGTTTGATGTATTCGAGAGCCTTCGGAAGAAGCAGGTGTGGCACGTCGGCAGCACTGCATTCAAGGAACAGAGGCAGCATGCGCGAACACAAGACCGTAGTATAGTAGAGTCCAATGTTCGAATCTACGGTAAGCAAAGTGTTTTGCTGCACATTTGCGAAGTGCGGTTGATAAACCACCGCATGCTGCAATTAGGCTGGAATCATCAGACCAGGCAGCGAAAAAGGGGTCCATGGCTGTGATTCCTTCATGTGGCACAATGCTTACCGAAAGCAGAGCCAGGAGGCTTTGTGTATGTGAGCTCGATTCTGCTACTGCTTATACCACGACGACGATTACTGCTGCTGATGCTGCTACTATTGCAGCCGCTGCTGCTCTCACTACCGCTGCCACTGATACCCACTAGCACCGCTGCTGCTACCGTTACGGACGGCAAGTGCTCGTGCCATTGCCACTGCTACTACTACCTAGAACTACTACATCCCACTACTACTACTTCTACTTCGACTTCTACTTCTACTTCTACTTCTACTTCTACTTCTACTTCTACTTCTACTTCTACTTCTACTTCTACTTCTACTTCTGCTACTACTACTGCTATTATTATTATTGCTACTGCTAC